TCTATGCATTATGGATTTTTACTCATTGTTGAAAGCCGTTCATTGGCCCATAGTTGCTTACATCCATATCATTTTGCCTCTTGTGGATATGACACTTATTCCTACAAAGTATGAACCATTCTGTCAAACGGTCTCGGACAAAAAAACAGACTGTGTATCCCTCAGTGAGGGAAAAAGCGTCTTTTATTTTGTCAATAGGCTAAAGGAAAAATTAAATTAATGATAACAAGATTGTTTATCTACATTTGTTTTTGTAGTAGTTGTAAATGCTTAAATATAGACGGGTTTATCTGTAATTGACCTAGAAAACATAGGCGCATCCATTAACCTCTCACGTGACCGATCCGCCATTACAACTGTGAAAAATAACGCACGTGTATTGATCAAAACATTATCGATTTTCTGTTTACATTTGTATTTCTTTCATTTTCTGATTTATTTTATTATGGATACTGCTGAAAAAGTTATAAAAACGTGGAGGCATTTCTTGTACAGTCAAAAGTTGTACAAATAATCGTAAAAAACTTCAGATGTGGAAAAAATCAATATGTAAATTACAAAACGAGTTGCACAATGACTGCCCTCGTTTGATTTCATATGTATTTCTCATTTGATGCCTTCAGACGAGCCAACAAACTTTAGTGGATCAAAGCCGTATAAACAGAAAAAAACTTTGCATAAACAGGTTTTTGTATGGTCCGGACATTTTTTTCTGGATGATGCGCCACTGCACACAAACCTTTTTTTTTTTTTTTTTTAAATAAAACTTGTTATGAAGTAAAATACCACTGGCAGACGAATGTTTACACGTTGTAAAACGACTGTTAAAAACTTAAATTAATCTATGAAAATTAATCCGATGACTACTAACAGTGCATCTGCCTCTTTTTGTATAGAAGATCCACACATCAGATGCGGATCAAGGATTTTGAAAAAGGGGGTGGGGTGGGGTGGGGGTTAGGATATTTATTCATATTTCGAAAAGTAAGCGGCTTGTGATATATTTTATTCCTGGTGCAGTTCTTGCTGAAAAACTTAAAGGTTCTATAAACAGCTGTACCATAGACAAATCCAAGCAAAACTAACTATTAAGGGCCCTTCCATAAAAGCCTCGTCTTAATGGTCCATATATGTAGGCCTATGTAGGTCTGTGTGCTTATAGTATATATTCACTTTATTTTCTTTATAAGACTGACTTATACAGTTACTTCTGTTGATTTGAACTTTGCTCAGTAGATTATTCTGTGCATGAATTATAAAATTTTATACATTAGAAAGGATTTTTCAAAGGTCTTGGTATTCAAATAGTTTACTAGAACCTACGAAAGCGTAGCTATAATCCGACAACCCGAAATTCCGACAGTTCAGTAGTCAGACGGTCCGATATACATCCCTAATGTTATACTGTAATACTGTATTTCACTGTATTGTATACATCGGGCACTTATATAAGAGTCTAATACAGATTAAGTATGAAAATGTACGAGACCTCTGTTTTGGGGTGGTTGGGAGGGGAGTTGGCAAAACACTAAATGACGCTTCTAAAACATAACTAATCATCGCTTTGAATTTACATGTTGAAGTCTTTGGTGGTTTAAAGGCATTCATTTATATTAAGCACGGACTGGAGCATGATGTTATATACTATACATACTAGTAGTTGTATGTCGAGTAATTTTCTGCAAAAGAAATTGGAATCGAACACTTTATAACTATAGGATTACATGGGCAATGAAAGTTCCAAATGTCTTAAGCCCATATTCTAATCGCAAAGGTATATCTACATATGGCCCGATCGATGCATCAATAGCATATAGCGCAATTCATGCGGACACCAAAGTAATACGATACGTTACTCAATTTTGAGCATTATACGTGAGTCGAACCAAAAGCACAAAACTCTCGTATCTGTGAGCCCGTCCGATTAGAGGATTGTTAAATTTTAGGACTGTCTCATTATAGGTCTGACCACGGAAATTTCTATGATTTGATATGTATATACATTCGACCGGGTAAGACTATTTTTTTTTTTTATCTATGTATGCGTTATAATTATTAATATTATGATTACCAAATGATTATAATCAATATGTAACCTGCCCGTACGAAATAAGAAGTAGGATTCCACCTAGACACTGTTAGGAATGTAGTAGGAATCTACCTAGAATCAAAGATTCTGTATAGAAAGTAGACGGACAGGGAAAATGAACAAAATTCTGACTGGATTTTTTTATTTTCTCACTAGCAAAATCCTATCATCTAGCTGGAATTTTAAAAGTCTGTATGGTTTTTTTTTCTGTTTTGAAAATCTTAAGTGGGAATTTAGACAGGAAATATGATTAGATTATTCATTTTCCTACTACAAGATTCCTACCAGAATTTATTTAATCCTACTAGAAAATCTTTTTACATGGAATCTTTTTAATTATCTTAAACTGGATTCCTGTTTGCTAATGACACAAATTTTGCTGTGTTGAATGCAACCAAGTTCCAGTTAACAAATTCAAAAGTTTGAGGGTAGAAGAATGAAAAGTTGTGTTGGAACACAACGCTGCAAGGATCAAACAACAACAATATTGAAAAATGAGAAAATATGGCTCATGTTGATTGAAGGTAATTTTTATACTTCAAATATGAAATTTGTTATCTGTTTGCCAATGTTTAGTTAAATCAACAATAGTGCATAATTTTACTCATTATTTGTTCATAACTCTTTAATTTCATCTAATCAACATTTTTGTCCATCTACATATATAACACATCTTCTAACTTATGTGGAATTTTGAAAAATTCCTACCAGGAATTTTATTTTCCCGCCAAATTATTCCTACTAATTTAAATAGGAATATTGTATATTCCTACTAATAAATTCCTGCTAATTTAAATTTTTCGTCTATTTTCCGTGTGGAATCCTACTACCTTCTGACTAGAATATAACTCTTTTCTGGTAGGAATTAATTACAATATTCCTATTATATTCCGTGTTCATTCTGTGTGGAATATTTCATACAGGCGGGATTAGTATTCGTATATAGTTTATTATGTCCCTCGTGTAACGTATCAAATACGCTGAGTTATATTTTAAGGACACGACACCTGTCCTGCAATACACTTAGAATCCTTATCTGATTACTTTACTATTTATAGCACTTATAATTTTGCCGAGGTCAAGTACGACTTCACATTCTTGTGTTTACATTTAATTATATGCGGTCTGGGAAATAGATGTATATCTTGTTTATATTTTTACACGGTTGTAATGGCGATCGTACTACGATGACGCCTAGGAGTCGCGTCACAAACTAAGGCAGATAATCGGAAAACCTGTCTATGAGATATGTTGTGCGCCATTTTTAAAGAAATCAAATATCCATAAATTATTAGTATTATACCCATATGATAGAACTAAGTGTTGTTTCATTATTATATAAATAAACATTGTTTGCTGGTACAAACGATTAGTGTGTCGTACTTTAAAACAAATGAAATATATGAATTTGTGACGACATAAAAATAAGTTAGACAAAATGTTTAATACAAGAAAGAGTTTTGAACTTTTACAGAATTATATAATAAATATGATAAATGATACCATGTATAAATAATCAAACTGGTATTGCTTTGGAAATTATATTGATAAAAAAATTAAAAATTAAAACATCATGAAAGTTTTCACCAATGCTGCCATTTTGTTTAAAAACGGAATAGGAAAATACTAGAGGAAATTGTCTATGTCCTGAGTTTGAATATCTTGTCGCCAATGAATCTAGCTGAGTTTGTGTGTTACCGAGTAGATCGCTATGGACACAATATAAATGAACAGGAAATTATTTAAAAGCATGTACTTGATTGAGATACACTAGTAAACCAATCATGATCTGAAACGGTCATTTTGATCTGAACAGCTCTTAAAGATTGAACAATAAATAGATCACACATTGTTGTCAATAAAATGGACTTTTATGCGACTGTCATACAAGTGAGAGGTTTAGCTAGCTATAAAACCAGATTTAATCCACCATTTTCTACACAAGAAAATGCCTGTACCAAGTCAGGAATATGACAGTTATTATCCATTCGTTTGATGCGTTTGCGCTTTTGATTTTGACATTTGATAAGGGACTTTCCGTTTTGAATTTTCCTCGGAGTTCGGTATTTTCGTTAATATTTATTTTTTATAAGGTCATTTTCAGTCTTTCAGTAAATAAACAGACTTTTCCACCCCGCTAAATTCAGAACTGTTCAGATAATTCGCTTGCAGTCAATCAAGATCTGTTCAGAATATGTTTGGATTGTTTAGTAGTTGTTATTTACTTGTACATATCAACACCATACTGAACTGTCTGAAAAGTTACTAAACAGTACTGAATTGACTGCAAGCGAATTTTCTGAACTGTACTGAATCTCCCACTGTGGAGAGTTCTTACAATTTACTGAAAGGCTGAAGTTGAAGAAAATAAATACGCAAAGCTGAAAACTGGTTTTTAGAAATAAAAAATTTGAATAAAATCGGTGATCAGCATTCTCTTTGACGATGAGAGAGGCTTCACAGCACATTTAAATTTTCACAGCTGTCTAACTAAAGGTTAAATTGTTGTTACTATATATATCCTGTATCTTTCAATATGCCAATGTCCAATAAATGTGTGACAGATGACCATCCGTAAGTCAATTACTGCTGAAATAGCTCTCTGATTTTTTAAAACCTAAGCACATCTGCCATACGATTGAAATCATTAAGAACATTTGGCTCGGTGTTACAGAAAAAATCGAGTGATATCTTATTGCTTGGAACAGCCATGACGATCTTTGTTTGTAAGTGTACCAAGCTGTAGTGTATATAAATACTTCCATGTTCTGTTCCCTTACATTTAACTCTAAAGATACTGAGAGGACTGGTAACAGTACATCGATTTTGATATTTGACTTCGTAATTTGATTCTTATTAAAATAAGTGTGTCATTCATTTGGTACGATAAAGTTTTGGTAAAAAAGAAAGAGACAGTTATGAGAATATGTATTTCATATGCTCAGTACAAAACATCAAGGTATGAATCATAATTAACAAAAATATACATATAGTATAGACAACTTCGATTAACATGCACAATTTTGACAGATATTTTTTTTAATTAAACAGGTTCACATGGATCCCTGTTTGGTATATATTTGGGTCAATATCAATGTCTACCGGAAAGGATATTTGAATTGTTCATACTTAAACATTCAATTTAGTTTTTTATTGTTAAACATAATGTACCATTCTATTGGGTAATGTTATATCGATATTTTCCGGGAAGAGGTTAACTTTAAATTTCGTATGTATGAATATTAGGAAGTGGATATGAATGTCATGGCTTTTTTCATGTTTGTTTCCGGATGCTTGACACATGAATTTGAATGATAATGTTTTGCTTGTTTATTTTTCCTTATCCATAGAATCTCTTCGCAGAATATTTGTATATGAAAAAAAAACGTAAAAGTTGTATGGTATGTTAAAATTTAACATACTCTAGATTTTAATCCTGCGAGTGAAACATGTATGGGAAATCGGCGTCAACTCTTAAACTAACAGCAATATAGTAACTAGATACAGACTGTCTTAATCACAAGTATACGTAGACATTGAGTTGATACTTAACTGCACCAGGCTATAAACTACAAGTTCAGACACGAAGCCCTTATTCAAGCATGTATCATTTCGAAACAGTGTAGTGAAATCAATCCAAACTCTTACAACGCATGGAAAAACAAGTCTGTAAAGTATATAACACAAGCAAACTTATGTACAATTAAAATTAAAATGTTGATCCCTTATTCTTGAGATGTTATGTGTAGGTCTCTACGATCTTAACGTATGTGTGCTATATCATTTATGTCTTTTATCTTCATGATAATGCCTAACGTCACTTTTTATTTACATTTGTCGTCATTTGCACGCTAGTAATTGCATTTTCTAAAATGCCATCATTTGAAAGGCTGTTTAACACATTACGATCTTTCAAATCTATAAAAATCGTCTGTTTTCCTACTGAAACAGAGATCATTACAGGAGTGTCTTCATAATCACTCATGATTTTATTCAATACTATATTTTTGTTGCTGTTCTCCTCTTCACATTGAAGACTGCTAATTTTTCTTTCAGATTCACTCTCAGTGGTCATTTCTCCTTTGCTATCTGCAGTGTGAACTTTGGATTTAGTACTGTTTTCACTTATTTCCTCATTGCTATTTGTACCTGTAACGAAATTTGATTTGTCGGGAATTCCAGTTGTGTTAATATGGATTTTACTGGAACATTCATTATTAGAATTCTTTACTACTTTGGCATATGTTGTATTGTCTTGGATTTCTATAACGACATCGGTTTTGTTTGAAATTTCAGATGTGTTCAGAGGCATTTGCATGGAATATACGGTCGTTTCTCTTTCAGTGCAGTTATCACCTTTATCATCTGTGTAATCAGCTTCAGTTACCAAATTGCATTTGTCGGAACGTTCAGTTGTGTTCAAATGCTTTTGAGGGGAACAGGCATTGTTTTGATTCCCTACGACTTCCGCATATATTGCATTGTCACTGTTCCTTTGTGTTTCTGTCGATTCATCAATAATAAGTTGTTCATAAATATTATTTTTCGGTTGGAGCAATGGCTCATCAATTGGTTCCGTGTAATCTGTGTACTCAATGGTATGTGTATCTAGATTTGGTCTTCTTAATGACGTCGCTAACTCTATACGGTGATACTGATCATCAGGATCAATGTACGACGATCTAATGGAAAGTTTTCTTCCATAAACTGTCATAGGTCTAACCATCATTGATTCCCTGATTTCTGAGTATGGGTCATCATCTTCAATGTCTATATCGCTTGTTTTGTGTCTACTTTGGACAAATACAGGTTGTGTTCCTTTAAAAACAAATGAAGGAATACTTAATTCTGTATTATAAGTTAGAGGCGAATTAAGAGGGTTTCACTAAAGGAAGACAACAGCAATTCATTAAAATAGGTACATGCATTACATTAAAACGATTCGTTTTCACCTTCTTCTTATTTCATTTGATTTTGTAAAGAACAATTTCAAGATTACATCTATTTTCCTTTGACAATTTTTTATACAAGTCCTCTTTTTATCACTTTCTCTAGATTTCCGTTTTTAAGATATCTTGAATTTAATGCAAATTTCACATTGAAAATTGTACATGGTTCCTAATTTTTTTATATTGTTTGCAATAGTTACAATAATTTGAAAAAATCTTTCTGGTAACAATACTTAATTCATTTAGTTATGTTATCCATCGCGTGTGGAAATATGAGTATGAGTTTTAAATTGTTAAGAAAAACTATGACTTGGAATGGAAATTTAATCAAATGCAGTTAAATATTGCTGTAAAAGGAAGAAATATGTATAATGTTGTATGGCAAAAAACCCATATGTGTTGAATGTACAACATAATTGTATTTATTTGATGTTTATATTTCAGCTGTATTACCATATGGAAATGAAATATGTGGTTTTCATAATGCAGCTGATATAAAAAAAATCATATAGAGTTCTGTAAAAATATTTTGTCTGTCAAAAAATACTACTGCAATGGTTTATTCTGAGTTTGGAAGATTTCATTTATTGTTATCTCGTTAAGTAAGAATAATAAAATATTGGATTCATCTATTACGGACGAGAAACTGTATTTTCGGAGCTATAATATGACATGTATGATACTTGTAAGTTCATGGGTGAATAAACAGAATCAGAATAATTCATTATAGTATCACATACCAATATAAAACACAATTAATACACAATTACATAAAATGCAATTACAAATTAATATTACAATTTAAATGTAATAATGTTAAATGTATTTTACTTAACTTAGGTTTTTGGCATGTTTGGTATGCCCATAATGTTGTATTCGAAGAAGTATTTTCAAAATTGTTCGACAAAGGCTTATTGACCATTTTCTTCATGAAAGGAATATATATTTTTTTTATTAAATCGTCATAAAACTGTATTATTTATAAACATTTGAGGGGTGAATTTCAATTACAATTTTATTTGACAAAACGCTTATCTGCACAATGCATTTGATTTTTAATTCAAACTAAATATAGGATTTGCTCACACAAACTCAATATTGAAAATGGTAGATTTATCCAAAAAGCAAGAAATGAAGGATTATGTATTTTATGTAACCATGTTTTCTCATTGTTGAAGGCCGTACGGTTGCCTATTATTGCTTCCATCTACTTCATTTCAACTTTGGTGGATAGTTGTCTCATTGGCAATCATACCACATCTCCTTATTTGTATATGGTGTTATTGAGGATGTATTTGATTTTATTTCAAAATGTTAAAAATATGATAACATAAAAAAAAATCATATCAAAAGATAATCTGTTATAATTGTACATACTTCTGATATACCTATATTGCTTCTGGTTTGAAATAAACTATAAAACTAAATCTAACCTAAAATTATTATTTTTTACGAAGTAGTTCTCAGTCCGCATTTAAACTAACTGTTATGTACTAACTGTGTACAGCGGTTTATCAGAATAAAGTATATATGTATAGACTATGTTGATTTTATGAAGGGAAAGCGGGAGTATTTGTTCTTCCCACAGATTGTAGTAATACAAATCCTTGTTCTTCCATAGGCGACAATACTAAAATTTTCTTAATTTACCATTTGTTTTCATAAAACCCCGGACAAAACAGTTATGTGTGATATTAGTACTTTATTATTCTGTTTTAGAAATTGAAGTCAAAAGTATCATGACCATCTGCGAACGGAGTTTTTTATGCTATTCTTGCCCATCGTCATTTTACATCAATTTATGAAAATTTGGAAGCTTTTTTTTAATAATTAACAAGAAAATATTTCAATGTGTTTCAAAACTTATATTGTAAATATACACACTGCAGTCATTCATAAAAAAATTAAAAAAATATATTGTACCCTTACATCCAATCATAGCAATCCTAAATTGACTCCCCTCACATGCCTTGGGTACACGAAAGTCGAGAAAATGTAATACTACTTTTTTACCCGAAAAGGCCACAGTCAAGTTAAAAAAAATAAACGTTGAAGTCCCGGATATAAATTTCAAGACAAATACAAATATAATTGTCGAAAAGAAAACAAATATGTACATTTTCGGAAATATATTATATATTTGAAATCGCTACAAAACAGAACCTCGCTTTTCGTCCTGTTTCCAAAGGTCGTACAATTATTTTTTTCTTATTTACCGACAATGTACATGATAATGTATATTTAATTAAATTTCAGTAGAATATTGCATAGAATACAACCAATTAAATTTCATTGTCGACCCAAATTGACTTTTATGCTCCAAAACTACACGTACCTGTAATTGAGAGGCAAACGAACTGTTGTCGTCTCGTATGCCTTAATTTTGTCAACCTATATATAATTCTTCAAACTTTTAAGACGCAATATTATGAAAGAAACAATTTTGATTTTTGATTGAATTTAAAAGATCGACAAATACAAAATTAACACAAATAATAAAAGGAAAATAATATTAAAAAAATATACTAGTAAATAAGAATTGCAAAGGGTTTATACTCTTCAATCTGTGGCGACTCTTCCTGAAATAAAAATAAAACCATTTATGTTTCCTTTCAAATTGAAACTATGATATCATTTAATTAGTAGGTGATTTACATAGTGTGTACAAACTTCTGTGCATTTTTCTTGATATTGTTTTTCACAGGCTTAACAACCCGTTATATTATAAGGGATAACGAAAGGCACATGTTCCATTCTCTAACGTTATTTTCAATACAAAGCTCGAATTATGGAATAAGACCTACAACAAAGATATAATCCAAAAAATGATCCTCTTTTCTTAATATCTAGGATGCCTACGCTTTTTCTCATTGAATTGGCCTGGCGCATGAATATATTTTTTGGTTAACGCAAACAAATGTACTCCATAAACGCGAAGTGAAAATAAATATTTCTACCGTCAAGCCGGTTTGTGTTATTATCGCCGCCATCTTGTTTACATTGGTTACAGAAAGTAGTTCGGTCAACGTCGTCTATCCAAATATAAATAACGTCAAGAGCCACTACCGGAAGCCCTCTCGACAAAATCATATAAACGTATTCCCTAATATTCAAATCATATAAGAATTATTGCATTATATTGATATTAACACATCACATTCCTCAGATTAAGGCTATTAATCCATATCCTTGGAGAGTCGAGTTATCCCTATGGACTTATGCAAGGGTTCAAATATCATACAGAAACTTGGAGTGAAAAATTGACTAAGATTGAAAAATATATATTTCACCTGGTATCTCGGTCATAATATTTGTGATGGAAACACCAAATCCAGCATTTCGATTGGTTAAATTCTGAGTCTGAGTACTATAATCATACTGAAAGGGTTTGTGACCATAAGGCCAGGGCCTCAACTATCTTGCAAAAAAATTCGTAAGGGTTCCGCGGAACCCAGTGTCTCGCCTACTTTCTCTGTTAATCGCAGGCTCAACAAAAATGAGGAAGTAAATCAATAAAAATATTCCTCTTGATACTATCTTTTGATTGTAAGAAGCTTCTGTCCAAGTTTGGTAAAAAAATCCAGGATAGTTTATGAATCTAATAAATGTTTAAAAACTTTAACTGCAGACTGAATGTAATGTTAACTGGAAGAAAACAAAATTTCCTTCTTGATACTAGCATTCGATCATAAACAAGCTTCTGTCCAAGTTTGGTACAAATCCAAAATAGTATAAGAAAGTTATTAAAATTTTAAAAACTTTAACCACAGAGTGAATGTGTTGTTTCCTGGCAGAAAATCTAAGTCCATTTAAAAGTAAAATACGGAAAAAATGGATTTATTTTTTTTTTAAATTCCTTCTAGATACTAGCTTTTGATCATAAACAAGCTTCTGTCTAAGTTTGGTACAAATCCAGAATAGTATAAGAAAGTTATTAAAATTTTAAACACTTTAACCACAGAGTGAATGTGTTGTTTCCTGGCAGAAAATCTAAGTCCATTTAAAAGTAAAATACGGAAAAAATGGATTTATTTTTTTACAAAATTTACTTCTACATACTATCTTATGATGATAAACAAGCTTCTGTCCAAGTTTGGTAGAAATCCAGGATAGTTTAAGAAAGTTATTAAAATTTGAAAAACTTTAACCACAGAGTGAATTTTTGTGGACGCCGCCGACGACGACGACGACGACGACGACGACGGAATGTAGGATCGCTATGTCTCGCTTTTTCGACTAAAGTCGAAGGCTCGACAAAAAGACAAAAAAAGGATTTAAATTTGGCTATGCGGGATGTATTAATACATAGTCACATCCTTAATTGGCACGATAAAGAACTCTTGCAATGTAAAACTATTTGAGAAATCTATAGATCGCCCATTGCAATTCCCGATTAATGCCCTTATCAACATACCCTTTTTACAGGTGGTAATGAAATCCGAAATTCATAATATTCGGACTAGATTGCCGAAGCAATCTCTTTATTGTATTATTGGTTTATCGTCGTCCTGAATACATGCACGAAGCATTTGTCGCCTAAGACAATAAAAGCAAACAACACTAAATCAATCAATCATGTGATTTGAAATATCTTTAAAATCGGACGAGGTTTGCAGACTAGGTACATGTTAGCAAATTAGATAGTGTTGTGCTACTTTGGTTTACTAATCGTGAAATTCTAAATTCATACGGTTATTCAGAAATAAATTTCGTGAACAAAAACATGAAACAGCAGACAAAAACCGATAATAATAATAATGTTAGGTAGGCAAACATTTATATACTTTTTTACAACGTAAACCTGTCTGTAGTTAGTTCAACACTGAGAAAACTTTTTTTTATTAAAACGTAGAATATCACCTCGTGTATCCAGTACAGAAACATTTGTTAGCTGTAAAAATAAAATATCACAAAGCAGATCAACTTAACTTGACTGTTATCAACATTGCGGTATCTAATGTAGGTTGGAATTTTTGGCACTAACGGCGATTTGGAATATTTAAAAAAAATAATGTTAAAAGATAATCCATTAACACTATGAATTAATTACCATTAGAAAATATATGTAACACAAAGTCAAATGACTAATAATTTACAAACATCTGTCGGTCAATACTACTCAAATTACCGACAAAGACAGAAAAGGAAAGAAAAGTGGGTATCAGACAGCTACATTCAACAATTCAGCTTTCAACTAACATACCAAATGACAACATGTTTTAATTATCTAACACTAAAACAATTACACTAAACTGCAAGTCCGCGATTTTGACAGGCAAGTAACATACACTACTGGAACAATGCCCCGTAGATTGGCCGTGAAAATGTCCGTAAAAATGCTGGTGATTTTTACAGTGTTTGTCACGGTTAATTTACGGTGGGCCGTGAAACTTATCCGTGACAATGCCGTGGAATGACTGTCGTGAAAAGGCTGTGAAAAGTTTGTGAAAAGGCCGTGAAGAGGTGCCACCTGAAAACTTGAGTGAAAAGACCGTAGAAACCCTGTGAAAAAAAAATGTACACCGTGAAAAAGTCGTGATAATGCAATTATGTGCCCATTGTGAAAAAAACGTGAAATGTAGATATAGTACAGTATATGCCTTTATTTGTCGTGAAAAGGTGCCAACTGAAAACTTCGGTAAAGAGACCGTAGAAACCCTGTGAAAAACAAAAATGTACACCGTGAAAAAGTCGTGATAAATTATGTGCCCATTGTGAAAAGACCGTGAAATGTACATGTACTACTGTGATAAACAGCCATTCACTGATTGTGAAAACTCCTGTAAAATGTTAAATGTATTTTTCAGGCCATAATTTAACAAAAAATTTAAATGCTGTTTCAATCAAGTGAAGTGAAATGCCTGAAAACCTAGTGTAAACATCTACAGACAACTTATTTAAGTACAATTCAAGTGAGACTATGAAAAACCATATTAAAATGCTGTATTTTTTTTAGTAATAATTGTGACAAAGAATAAAAATATTAATTTTAATAGAACTGTAGTAATTATGTAAAGAAAACATAAAAGCACACAAATGTCAATGTGATTAAGTAGCTAAAGTCAGCTGTAACATGTATTGTAGAAATTTTGTACATCTCTTGGGTCTGATTTTACCACTTCAGCAATATTTGTCTGATGTAATCCTTCACTTCACTGCCCTTTTGAATAACTATTCCAGAAAAACATTTGTAGAAGTTCCTGTTAATTCCCAGGAAATACTTTTTACTGAAAAGCTCTTCTTTCCAACTGGATTCCTGAACTATTTTATATAAAGACTGCTATATCCTTTTGCTCTTCATTCCTAGAATAAATAAAGAAACATTACATATATTATATATGTATATAAAAAAACTATTTATATATTCAAATTAATTTTTGGCATTTATGTACATACATGTACTTAATTTATTAAAACAGCTACAATATTATTCCATGCAATACAGGACTTCACGGTTAATGACCCCATATTGAATAGGGGGCAGATTTTCATACTGGAGGTGAAAATGGTATGAAAAATACTAAAAAACATCATTGAAACAGAACAGCCACTTGGAAACATGCATAGGTTTTCCCATATTTTCATACCATTTTCCAGAAAATCTGCCCTCTATCCAATATATATGGCATCATTAGTTAACGAAGTTCTGTATTGTCAACTTATATTATTTTTTTTAGATTTTTTTAAAGACTAAAGACACTTTTAAGACAGACTATTAAATTTAAATGTTTCTTTGAAGTAATAATATGTATGGCTAAAGCCAAACTTGTCTAGACTAAGTGGCCGTAATGAGTCACAGCTATTTATTTTACAGGGGGCCAGGGGCGTAGCAACTTTTACTGCAGGCACATTCGCCATACCAATTATTCTTATGATATGGCACAAACCCTTCTAGAAAGGACATTTTGCCGTACAAATATTAAAAACTTTCCCTGCTACGCCTCTGATTATTCCTTTTTGAACTCTGTGTCCCGATGGCCAAGTCAGAAAATACATGTACTTAAATAGCTCCCGACACATTCAAAGGGGGTTACGCCTCTGATTATCAGAGTGAACTCCATTTCAGAGATACTTATTGCTATTATAATCATTTCCAATTATCTATGTCTATGTCTACGTAGTGTACTGTACATAAATGTCATTTTTTTTATGTGGCCAGTGTGGGGAAAAAGGACCCCCCTTTTTCCCCCAAATACATAAACAAAACAAAACCGTAATCGTATTTAAAGGATCCGGTAAGTCTTAGAAAACATTAACCGAAATGATTAAAGGAATCAAGTGCAACAGACTCAAATATAAGTGAATATATCACATGCATGTTTGCGCGGTTTATGCAAATTCAGTGAAAATCAGTTCAATGGAAATGCTCACAAACGTCATCAACATTTTGGTGATATAATGCATAAAAGAATAAAATATTAATAACTTAACTTACCTCAAACTTGCTGTCACTCGTCTTGCATCTATAAAGTAAATATTAATCGACCTTCGGCGTCTTTCAAATTTCCTTGCGGAAATGTTACAATTACTCTTAAAGAAACACGAATCCGGATACGGTCTGATATTCCGGGAAGTTCTCGTTTTTACATGTTTCGGTTCCAATTAAAATTAATGTTTACACTGTTTATAATAATGTACAGACGAGAAGCAAATACTTTTCTTTAAATACATAATATTTATTGGCACAAAGTCATTAATTATAACAATGAATGGTTCCCTTTAAAAGTCAGTCCTGTACAGTAGTATTGCATATAATAATATTTAAACAGACATATATTTATAATGAAAAGTTTATAGGATATTTAGAAAAATGTGAGTGGAAATAATTAGACCATATTACAATAATCACATGGGATGTTTTAAATCTGAATTAGGATAAGAAAAAATTGACATGAAAAAATATCACGGCCTTTTCACTGGTTTCAACAACCAGTGAAAAGGCCGTGATATTTTTTATTAAGCATGAAAGGACAAATTATCACGGCCTTTCACGGGATATTGAAATTTCACGGTCTTTTTCTAACATCAAATATTTTTCACGGCCTTTAGAAATATTTTTTTTACAAAAGTCACGGGGTATTTTCACGGGGTTTTCACGGCCCTGTGATATTTCACAGACATTTCACGGCCTTTTCATGGGCTGTTGTTACAGTAGTGATACATTAATAAATAATCAGCTCTCAATCCACTTTCAATTTGGACGTTTGTTTAACATAAAAATAATGAAAACAAAGTATTTTTAGGATTTTAGCCACTGATGTGTAAGAACATGATTGAGTATTTCACTCCAGTAATACAGATTTCTTTTTTCTAAAGGAGTGCCATTTAAGTAGGATTGTTTGCTAATACTTTTATACACCGTTTTATATAATTAAATATCCTATTCTTGGTGTTTGTGTATGAGGCGTTCGAGGACGATAACATTCTTATAACGATAAAGGTCATGTGCATTTTGTACTAGATATTGATTAAACTGAAATTAATAGTGACTAGTGAAAATAGTAATGCCAACTTCACTTTATACAATGTCTACCTGAGCCATATTTATAAAATATTTTATTTATAACATTACTACTTAATGTGTGTGCTTTTATGTTACATACCATTTCTTATTCCAAATTGTATATAACAAATTTTTTTAATTGGCTAAAATGTACCGTCAAATCTTCAGTTTTCAAGTCGTTACTAAGGAATGGGCAGTCATATTGAATTACTTTGATAAACAAATGTAAGAAATGATAGGTTGTGTAGAATTGTAATATTATATTATGTTACAGACGTATAATGAGGAACTGTCACAGCAGGCACACCCACGTTGTTTCAACATTGATCCAATGTCAGACTTCAACGTTGTTACAACGTTGATACTTGGGTAAGATTTGAAAGTTTAAATGACGTTGAATCAAAGTTACAGATTCAACGTTGAATTGCCGTTGATAGCATGTTGAAATCAGGTCGAAAGAGGTTGATATAAGGTCTAGTTAGGTTGAAATCAGGTCGAGTGAGGTCGAAATCAGGTCGAGTGAGGTTGAAATTATGTTGCCCCTTGTCCGATCTGCTCATCAAAAATATATGTACCCCTCAATTTTAATTTCAACGTTGAACGTCGAGTGCCCAATGTGTTGCGCCTAAAAAAGAACTAATAACTTTTATATTCTATTTCATAAATTAGTCATGACGTTTTTCACCAGTGGACTTTGATGTTATCATGGTGGAATAGAAGACATAAACATTTGCCTACCTTGAAACGAGAAATATTAAAACTGCAATCACTATAGCTACTATTGTTATAGTAATTACTGACGTTAAAACGCTTGTTGTGGTACCAAAGATTGTATCTAAAATGGAAACAAATGTTATTACTATTTTAAGATAATGTAACAATATAATCTATCATAGATCTGCATATATTTTAATTTGATGAATGCATTATTTTACCGAAAAGGTTTTGCTCATGTTGTCACCAAATAAATATTTATGCATATGTTTAATGTTACTTTCCTGCGGCTTGATAAATCATTTTGAATTAGTTAGCACATTAAAAACTTTTAATGATTTGCATTATACTTACCATTAACGTTGATTATTTCTTCACAGCCTGTGGCCTCATTACATCTAAAAGAAAGAGAATAATGATTGCAGTTTCGACAAAAAACATTTTCATAGGGGTTATCCCATTTAAATTTTATAAGAATTTCTTTACATTGTTGCAAGAAATTTCAGTAGTTTTTAATATTTGCAACAAAACTATGTACATGAAGTGTGTTTTATTTTGTATGCATTTTGTTGACCTGTCTACTTGATGTTTATCAGAAAATATTTTCATTTTAGCAACATCTCGATTATGTAAATTGCTACTTTCCCTTTAAATAATGTTACAGATTGCAATAGGGATAAGGGGACATATATTTCTATTAAAATACATTAACACAAATCATGATAAATACCTACGTTTCATTGTCAAAGCAGTTACATTTTAACTGACATCTAAAGCCGTAATAATTGACGCCACACATTCCCAGGCAGTTTTCCCCAAATGTTCCATTAGGGCAATCTGATTAAGTTAAATAAAAACAATCAATGTTTAAAATGATATAATCTCTAAATCAATCATTCACAGTTGGGATCTGTTGTAACTTCGACTGTAATAGACACCTTAAGAAACCAGTTTCAAACTCCCTCAGGCAAAGTTGACCTATGACGTATTTGGCATTTTTTAAAGTCCCGTTTGGTTATAGAGCGAGTTCGGGTCTTATACATCCGGGGCTTTCAATGGTTTGGGTTTGAGCGTTCCTGATGAAGGAAAATCCAGTAGTACGCTTCGGACGGACGAATAATAAACTGTTATTTTTATCTCATCGACACCTTACGAACAGTTTATGAAAGAAACGGATGTACCCTAGAAAAGTGTTGACAGTTCTAACCCAGAACAATTTTGAACAGGTCTAACATAGAAAATGATGCGATAGTCTACCCGAGAACAGTTTTGGACAATTCAACACTAGAGCAGACCCTGATAGTTCTATCTTTGTAACAGTTTTGGCTAGCTCTAGTAATTGTGCATTAATTTACTATTTTTCTATTTATTCATCTCTTGCCTTTTTTTTATATATCTTTTTCTATATTTTAAGATACCAATTTTACCTTTCGTGATTATTAAGCATTATTTATTAAATATGTTTGATTGTTTTTTAATGATTTTATTTCGTTTTATAAGCTTTTTGATCTGCTGTGAAAATCATATAACAAAATTAATACAATAATACGTAACCAAATAAGCATCACTAGATAAGTTTTGTTTAATGTTATGAGTTTCAATCAGGTTAACTCATGTATAAAATCACTCCCAGACACAATTTTAGAATGATATACTGCGAAATCGTTGATGAGTTCTCTTATACATGTAATAAACAAAACCTAAAGTGCTTCTCAAACTGTAAAATTATCTATCAAAATAAAATATAATTATTAATTTGGATAATTTATACATAAATATCAGAATTTTTTTATAACACGCCACAAGCATATCTTTTTTACAAATAAAAATAATTTGGATTAGGAATTAAGTAAAATAAAGAAAGACCGGAACCTGTATACATTAAAGAATCCTTCCTCATATAACTGTTTCTGACTTTCACATCAACTAGAACTAGTCTAAAAATTAGAGCTAATTTTATTTACATCATAAGGACTGTTTCAACCTAAAACTGACGTGGAAAGTACCGTATGATTGATCCTGACAGTTTTAACCCAGCAAATTTGTATAGAGCAAACTGCTTTAGGTGAACAGTTTTGAACAGTTCGTACTATGACATTTTATTCTGAAATTTCTATTAGAATGAATCTCAACTGTACAAATTACTGTAACTAAACATTGTATCGCCATTGATGTAAGTTGTGAAAATACATGCACATTTTTCCTCGAAAGATGTGAGGTTTTAGTTAAAGTTAATAATCACCTGAAGGAATTTGCCAAATATATTGTTTGGTGTGTTTTGTTATCAACATTTCTGGCGCAAAGCATGAGATAAATCATCGATTGAGCATATCATGGACATAATTGGTGGTCGTGATCGTGAGAAAGTATCGCTGGTTCATATTCCGGACGATTTTTCTCAAGATTTGCTGCATGATCGGCGAATACTACCAGAACGAGAAGACGGTAAGCATAGGTGATTCATGTGAACGGTGATTTCACTCGGCATTGAAGATTATTATATGTTTTTTAACCACTAGCTTCCAAACGAAAGAAATTATGCTATTAAAGTTTTCTTCTTGTAAACATCCAAAGTTAAACATGGTCCGTTTATAATATATAAAGTTATGAGCACGGATATAATCCACTTACCTTAGCCATTTACAATCCTCTTCATCAAGGAATGACATCGCAGAATGCGACTTATTGTCAAACTGAAGAGTCTTATCAAAGTAAACGATACATACGTCAGGCGTGCCAAATTAAAAACCTTGTATCTTTGAGACATTTGTATAACAACTTGGTCGATGCCACTGTTGAGGAACATGTCGTCTCCGATTGTGTCACTTCTATGTTGACATTCAATATCAGGTATACGACATTTTATTAAATATAGTATTTATGGAATGTTTAATTATTTGAAACCCCATACATTGTACCCCTGGCATAGGTAACCTAAGTTTATTTGACACAACTTCTTGTCGGTTACTTGTTTTAAATGTTCTACAGCTTTGTACTTGCTTCAGCCTTCTTTGAAATTTGCTCTTCTATTTATGGACTTCGACCCATGGTATCTTCTCCCAATTTATAGTGTTAACATTCTTTTTGTCATATTACATTATATTTTGTCGTTAAAGGTATTTACCAATGCACTCCTGAGCGTTAGGATGTAGTTTATAGTTTTGACAGCATCTCAGTTCCCAAGTGTCATCGTCACTATAAAATAATTTACTTACTATCATTAGTAAACATATTTTTAAGTGAAACGGCATTATCTAGTGAGGTAAATTCAGTACTGTTTAGACAGTTCGCTTGCAGTCAACTAATAGCTGTTGACCAGTATATGTTAAGATTCTTTCAGTGGCTGTTATTTACCTGTATAAAACAACATACTGAAATCTTTGAAAAGTACTGGATTGACCGCAAGGAAAAAGTCTAAACAGTATTGAATTTCTAGCAAAAATGTATATCTGAAAAATAATAAGATTTAAACAGATTATCTCTTTGTTATCTATTCAGATCACGTTAAGATCAAAATGACCGTTTAGACTTAAATGTATTTTCTAGTGTATCAATAAATATGCAATAAAAACATATGATACCAATTTCCGGGCCCACGTAACGCGTTTCTATAGGTGCCAGACCACCAATTCACTCCCTCCAATTTAGTAAGTCATATATTACAGTCAGTTTAAATTGAGCTGTGAATTTTGCAATATAAGTCGAATAATGCCAGGATTTTTTTACTACAAATTGACCAAGGATTAAGAATTAAATAAAACAAAAGACTTCTGATAAAAAAAGTTTATGTCTCTGTAGGTGTCAGACTACCAAATCACTCCCTCCAATTTAGAACGTATGTAAAAGTAGCCTTACTCTGACAAAAAAGTGCTTTTGATGTCATTGTTTACTTAAACTTACCAACAAATTTGCAGAAATGAAACTTTTGGTGAAAGAAAAATATATTTAGACCATTTCGAGCCAAAATTTACTTGACTATGAGTTTGTATTAAAAATTGAGGATTAATGCGTTCCATAGTATACTTATTTAAGATTTCCAGAAAACCAGAGGTTATTTTTTAGTAGAACTTGACTTTCGAAAGGCAGTTCTTTCTTACAAGACTTTGAACACGGGTTTAAAATTGACACGCAGAAAGGTGATACATGTACAATTCAGGATATACCTGGTTTCTATGAAGTTAAACTTAAGGTAAAATATAAAGAAAGCTGTGAAAATTGCAAAATTTGGTTGAATAGATAGGGATTTTGAATTGGTGGTCTGACACCTCTATAATAACTTTAGTCGGGATCGCTTGAGACCAAAAGTTTGAAAACCAAACATTAAAGGGCCTTAACTGGACTGATAATAACACCTTCTAAGGAATACTTTTCCTGGGAGATTTGCAATCTAGAACATTTAATGGTTAATTAAATTCGAAATAATTCAGAATGACAATTTTTTTTTATCTGTATTTGAGTAGTTCGTTTAAACACGCGAAACCTCTTTGATTGGGCGGAAGAATTAAATGTTGAGCAAACGGAACGTTAAAAAATATGATGTGCTGTAAGAATTATATCATCATACCATTGTTTTCCAATAAATCAACTTACTGTGGAAATTGACAAACTCCAGAATCATTAACTTTGAGACTAAACGAAAACTTCATAATACATACAATATAACAAAAAACTACCAATCCGTACTGTAACTTCAACATGGCTAGAATCACATAAGAAAATATATAAACATTTCCCTGATTATTTAATAATATTTCCCGTATAAACTTTACAAGGAAATGATCATGACAAATGTTTTCCGATACATTCAAGTTCAAACTTAACCAATAACCCTGTTGTTAACCTCAATAAGTTATCTAAACCTATTTAGCTGAAAACAAACTGACAAGATGCCAAGGAGGCACGAGCCAAGCACATCTCCATCGAGGCATTCCAACTAAATTATGTAGTAAAAGGAAAAGCAAAATGGTGTTAAAACTGAGTTTTACTGTGCATTTTGCTGTGTTTATTTATTCCGCAAAGGGCTAGATGTAAAGGGGAGGGTTGAGATCTCACAAAACCTGTTTAACGCCGCCATATTTATGCGACAGTCACAAATCAGGAACCTCTAGACTTTGTTAGTCATGTGGTTTTTTTTTTTTTAATTTTTGTTCATTTATATGTTTCGGAGTTTAGTGTGGCGTCCGTTTCGGTGAACTAGTATATATTATTGTTAAGAGACCAGCTGAAGCCTGCCTCCGGGTGTTGGATTTTCTCGCTGCGTTGAAGACCAATTGGTGGCCTTGTGCTGTTTACTGCTCTTTGGTCGGGTTGTTTTCTCTTTGACACATTCCCCGTTTCCATTCTTAATTCTATGTCCGGGAATTTTGAATATCATAAAACCATCCAATTCCCCATCTTTTGTTAGAGTTATTGTTTTCCCTAGTTTTACTGGTGGTGGACAATCTGTCCCCGAGGATTCAACCAGTCCGGTAGCCTAACAGCATGAAAACTAGTAGAATAAAAAATATTATACTGGATGACACGCCGCCCAGGATAAAAAGGTGTCAATCGGATGTTGTCAAGGACACAACAACACCGATTTAATCAGGTGTCCCCAGGATCATCTTAAATGATGTAATGAAAATGACACATGTGCAGTCTTCTGAATCCTCATTTTACTATAAAAATTCAGACAAGTTTGTTTCTATTCGGCCCTGTACTGTTAAACTTTCAGATATTTTAGATTTCAATGACAACCACCAATATTGCTCTATTTCCAAATGTAACCGTAAAAATTGTAAAACCTGTGATATACTAATATCTGATACCTACTTTCAAAGTAATTTAA